ACACATATAATTTGGGACCTTTAATTTCAGAAGTGGATATAAGTCCTGTTTCTCAGTCTTAGTCTTGAATCTCAGCTGAATGAACTCTTTTTGTCATGTGTACACTTGCTCATATTTTATATACAAGTATTATAGCTTCCAGTATCATAGTAACATAAAAGTCACCCCTTAAAGAGAGGCAAACTTACAAATGGTAGAATAACTGCATTCTTTCTATTTGGAGAAGATATGCGGATAAAAATCCAAAGAGGGAAAGGGAAGGCAAAAAGAGGTAAGGGCAAAGGGAGTGGGAAATCACAGGTTACACAGCTTGGTGGACAGAGAGTGTGTGTGAAGGAATTAGGAGAGATCTAGTGGGTATCTGAAGAGACTGATGAAAAAGATGATAGTTGTCATAGATCAATGCTGATTAGTTTTTTAAACACAGTATATGAGAATGATGGCATGAAACACAATTTGAATGAAGGAGTACGTGAAACACATCCTGTACATGAATGACATACATGTATACAAATTTTGTGTTCAAAATAAATCTTAAAAATCCCTAAACTCACTGCTCTTTCCCCTGTTTTTGTTTTTGTCTTTTGTTGGTGTGTGTGTGTGTGTGTGTAAAACCAAAAGGGGGCAGGGCAGAAGGACAAGGTAGGAATACTTTTGATCTTGAAATGCACTGTTACTTAGAAAAATTTCCACAATGCACAATTCAGTGTTTTATAATATTTTCCTAGTAAATGAACAAGTATTAGTCAAAAGTATTTAATGAGATTCAGAAATTCTTTCCAGGAGCTCTGGTGGCCTTGTGGCAAGAAGCTGCACTGCAATCCCAGCTCACACGGTTTGAATCTACCAGAAGCTCTGCTGGAGAAGGAGGGGCAATCTCCTCCTGAACCAGTCAGATCCAATTTGACGGTACACACACACACAAAATAACAGAAATTCTTTCCAACAGAAAAATGTCTTTTTTTACACTACTATTTTCATCACAGCAAAATATTTGACTTAGAAAAACATAAGTGAACAATACAAGATATTTTTGAAATCAATAGTCATCTTAACAATGAAAAGAGCTCTCATCTTAAATATTGAAAGTACTGAAAGGCCACAATTGCCTACTCAAATAAAATTTTACTATAGTTGAATAAAATACAGTTATAGATATCTTGCTGAAGAATACAATATTAACTTACTTCTTGGTTCTTCTTGATGATTTAGAAATTCTTCTGGTTGATTATTGAAAATATTTGTATGATATAAATGATGGGTTGAACTAAAATTTGCTTACTCTAAAATAAAACGTTACTTAAATTTCACATTGCATGTAGAAAAAGTAGTTCTAGATTAAGTAATATCCAAGTCACAGTATCTTACTCTTAGTACTGCAAAACTGTGGAAAAATTTTACTGTAATAGAAGTAATTTCTGGGTTTTGTTTATTTGGGTTTTCCCTCATCTAATTTCTTGTATAGCATGCCTGGAATGACTGTTAAGGAACTCTTTTCATTTTGCCTTTTCATATATTACATAACATGTATCAAAGTAAATTCTTTATATGTATGTAAGTAAACACCTCAATATTTAACCCTATGATTATGCATTTATATAAATCTTACAAATACTTTCCTTGACTCCACACCATGTTACTTAGAAATACATAAAATATTCTCCTCTTTATGTATGGCATAAAAAATGGAACTGGACTTATTTTATATATGTCTTTCTTTTAGGCTCAGGAGAATTCATTAAGAAAACAAAGCAAGCCAAAGAAAGGCATCATTGAAAGATACACATGAATCATTGACACTTAACTTTTTCTATAAATGTCTATAGTTAAACATAAGAAAACGTGCATGTTGACATAAATGAGACAATTGTAGAAACCACAGTTGATATAGGTTATACAATATTTTTTCCTAGAATTTGGTTCTTTTTTAATTGCACAGATTCCATGTATTTTTTTCCCCTGGAATTCTGGACATCATCCTCATGGGAATTAATGTGCTTATATCCTTTGTATTTTGCCAACCCCAGAAATATATTTTCCACTATAACACAATATGATGATAGAAAACTACTATAGATTTCTTGTACAAATTCATTGCCTTCTGAAATGGATAACATATTAAGGATCTGCATGGAGTATTACCCATATATCATATTGTTGTTGGTTAGTGCAAGATTAATGACCTTTTTATAATAACAATTATGTTTGTGCATAGGAATATGTCTTATATTACTTTATCCTTAATCCATTGAAAAAAAAATATATATATATAATTATTCCAGAGTTTGATTATATATCTCTAGTGTATATCCTTTGTCACTATTTTAGAATCACAATTTTCAGAATATGTGTTTATATATGCACACATATTTATATATATGCAAGTGTATATATGTATTTATGTGTGTATGTATACATGGACGGAACAAATAATATTTCACAGATAAACAGGGAGCTCTGATGTCCTAGTGTCAAGAAGCTGTGCTGCAATCCTGAAGGGACTCGTTATCAACTTGACTAGATGAGGTGTCTTTGCCAGTCTAGTGAATGGATACATGCAGTATACCCAGTAAGAGATAGTGTAAAGATACTGTAAATGCCTGCAATTATAACAATGACAATGTGGGGAATGTTGAATCTGACCTCTACCAATCCATAAAGGGGAACTGATCCCATCAACAACACCCATAATACAAAACCAATTCCCATGAGATCATCAACAACATCCATAATACAAAACCAATTCCCATGAGATTAGACACGTTTCCCCTTACTCCCACACCTCTTTTTACTAATTCCAACACCAATCTTACATCTCAATTGGGTCTTAATTTTGTTATAATGACTACATAGAGTTTACAGGACAGTATTCATAAATCTGCTCTTTTGGTTTTTTTTGGGTTTTATTTTTGCAACTAGGCAATCTCTTTTCAGATAGACTAATATACTCAACCCACATGTTCCTGCCTATCCAGCTGACAGAATCAAGGGCAATGGTTAAAAAAAAAAAAAAAGGCAATGGTTTAGGAAAGTAATTTTAAATAATAGACCTATAACACCACACTGGCTTTCTGATATGTCCAAGCGTGGTAAATTGTGACCTTGGAGTGTGTTGGGTAAGAGTAGCCAATAATATGGAAGGGCCCCAGTCAAAGAAAGTTCAGAGACTTATAAGTATGTTACTATGAAGAAAGGAAAAGATGCTTACAATAACATGGGAAAAATAAAATGCCAAAACAAATCAGAGGCTATTTTGAAATTTGTGATTCTTCTAGCAGGTATACATTCCAAAGTTGGGGTGGGGGAAGCTGTGGCACAGGTGCGTACACATTCATGTTAATTTCAAGTTTATTTACAATATTTAGAGATGGAAACCACTATATGTCCATCAATGGATGAATGGATACAGAGACTATGGTATATTTCCACAATGATATTATTTTTTAAAAACATTTTTTTTTATTTTATTATTTTTGT